CTGGATGCCGCCTCTTGGGTCCTAATGCTGGTCATGCTCCCCTTCTATGTGTGCTGGGAGCCATCCTGTTTTCTGTACAAGGGTGAGTGCCCGTGGTGAGGCAGGGCAAGGTAGAGCGGGGTGGTGGGTGGGGGGAAGAGGAAGCAGGAGAGGATTGGGCAAGGGGAGGGGGACGTTGGAGTGAGGGAGGGGGAGAGGGATAGGGGCAGGGGATGCAGAGGAGAGGAAGGGGATGGGGCAGTGGGATGGTGGCAAAGAAGGGGTAGGAAACAGCGGGAGAAGCAGGAACCAGCATATGTCCCCTCAACAGCAGTAGGGGCTCCTCCATTAAGTAGGCCCATCAAACCCTCACCCCGACAAACTCCACCCACCCTGCACCTGGACCACTCTGATGAGCCCCCCCTGCCCAGACGCCTACCCCACTGAGCCCCAACCAGATGCACCTAGACTCACCACTGAGCCCCCCACACCAAACTTAGAATCATAGAATCATAGAATATAAGGGTTGGAAGGGACCCCAGAAGGTCATCTAGTCCAACCCCCTGCTCAAAGCAGGACCAATTCCCAGTTAAATCATCCCAGCCAGGGCTTTGTCAAGCCTGACCTTAAAAACCTCTAAGGAAGGAGATTCTACCACCTCCCTAGGTAACGCATTCCAGTGTTTCACCACCCTCATAGTGAAAAAGTTTTTCCTAATATCCAATCTAAACCTCCCCCACTGTAACTTGAGACCATTACTCCTCGTTCTGTCATCTGATACCATTGAGAACAGTCTAGAGCCATCCTCTTTGGAACCCCCTTTCAGGTAGTTGAAAACAGCTATCAAATCCCCCCTCATTCTTCTCTTCTGCAGGCTAAACAATCCCAGCTCCCTCAGCCTCTCCTCATAACTCATATGTTCCAGACCCCTAATCATTTTTGTTGCCCTTCGCTGGACTCTCTCCAATTTATCCACATCCTTCTTGAAGTGTGGGGCCCAAAACTGGACACAGTACTCCAGATGAGGCCTCACCAATGTCGAATAGAGGGGAACGATCACGTCCCTCGATCTGCTCGCTATGCCCCTACTTATACATCCCAAAATGCCATTGGCCTTCTTGGCAACAAGGGCACACTGCTGACTCATATCCAGCTTCTCGTCCACTGTCACCCCTAGGTCCTTTTCCGCAGAACTGCTGCCTAGCCATTCGGTCCCTAGTCTGTAGCTGTGCATTGGGTTCTTCCGTCCTAAGTGCAGGACCCTGCACTTATCCTTATTGAACCTCATCAGATTTCTTTTGGCCCAATCCTCCAAACTTCCCCTGCTGAACCCCAAACACCTTCACCTGGATCCCCTTGCAGAGTCCCATTGCCCCAGAATCCCCCGCCCCAAGGAGCCCCTGTCCATCCAGATCCCCCACTGTGCCGCCCACACACAGACTGTCCCACACAGAACCCTCTCACCTCAGACCTGAATCCCCCCACACTAAGTCCCTCCACACTTGGATCCTGCTGGGCTGGGCCCGCTTGTCCACACCTGGTGTGCCTGGCATAGAGGTGCAGGGCGCCAGGGTGTTTCTGGGGTAGGCCCAGCCCCTTGTGCTGTGTCAGGGTTGGGTGCAGCCTTACTGACAAGTCCCTGTCCTGGGCGTGAGGAGGCTGCAGGGTGATCTCTCACCTGCTTGCAGCCAGTGGCCTGTGCTCCCCACTGCCATGCTTGAGTCTCCACATTTACTGACAAATAAATGTTGCAGAATTTTAAAATATTGTGGGCAGAAATTTTTAATTTTTTGGCACATAATTCCTTCAGGAATAAGGAGGAGGAGCTGAGGGCTCTCCTGGAGGAGGAGCTGCCTGTCTGAAGTGAGTCCCTAACTCACTGTGAGACCAGATGGGCTAGTCTCACTGGGGCAGCAGTAGCCTCTCCTTAGGGCCCCCTGTAGAAAGCGGATGGGGAGCTGGCCAGCTGGTTGACTCCAGAAGCCTTCAAAGGGAAGGCTGAGGGAAAAGGCCATTTGCCTCCTTGAAGACCAACAGTGAAGCCGGGGGCATTGAGGGCATGGAAGAAGGGGGCTGTGCAGCAGGAGAGGAATAAAGAAGACCTGATCTGTGATGGCCACGGATTCACAGAATCCAAAGCCAGAAGGGGTCATTGTGATCGTCTAGTGTAACGACCAGCACAGGCCATAGAACTTCCCCAAAATAACTCCTAGAGTATCTTTCACAAAAACATCTAGTCTTGATTTAAAAATTGTCATTGATGGATACTCCACCTGACCCTTGGTAAATTGTTACAACGGTTAATTACTCTCACTGTCAATAATTTACACCTTATGTCCAGTCCAATTTTGTCTAACTTCCAGCCATTGGATGGTGTTATATTTTTGTCAGCTAGATTGAAGATCATCATCATCATGTTCCCATTACATCTCTGGCATTTAAGGCAGCGACGAAGCTCCTCCACTCCTGTCTGTTTCTGGCAAGTCTTTCAATGGGTTCCCAGCTGTGCTCCAGGTTTTTCACCTCAGCTTCCACCGCTCTTCACCATGTTGTTTTTGGGCTGCCTCGTTTTCACTTGCCCTGAGGTGTCCATCTGGTGATGGAATCAGTTTCCATCCAAAGCACATGGCCAATCCATCTCCTGGCAATGATGGTGCTCATACCTTTTTGGCTGCGTGAATACATCTTGGTTTGAGATTGTTCTGGGTCAAAAGATACAGAGGATTTTTCTGAGGCAGGCTGTATGGAATGAAGACAGTTTGAACATGTCATACTTTCTCATTCCCCAGTATTCTGCACTATAGTGTTGAAACTATGCAGCTCTGATAAATCTTGACTTTGATTTTAGTGTTGTGTTTTGATAATTTCCAGACTGTATTTAAGCTCCTTAAGGTGTTCCTGGCTTTATTGATTCTGTTCCGTATGTCCTGGCTTGTTCCACCGTCCTGGCTGATGGAGCTGCCCAAGTATGTGAATGTTTCTACACTGGTGAGACCATGACTCTCTATCCATACTGGTGATGCCGAGGCAATATTAAAGGTCATCATATCTGTCTTATGCTGGTTGATTTTCAGTCCAATTTGCTGGCTGAATGTGTTGAGTCATGTTTTTTTTCTTGTATATGGTGTTGTGTATGTGATAGGAGAACGACATCATTTGAGAAGTCCAGGTCTTCGAGGGATGAGAAGGGTGTCCATTTAATGCCTCTTGGCATGTCTTCTGTTGTATGCCGCTATCAGGGTTCCTTTCCCACTCTGAACTCTAGGGTACAGATGTGGGGACCCGCATGAAAGACCCCCTAAGCTTATTCTTACCAGGTTAGGTTAAAAACTTCCCCAAGGTACAAACTTTGCCTTGTCCTTGAACCGTATGCTGCCACCACCAAGCGTTCTAAACAAAGAACAGGGAAAGAGACCACTTGGAGTCGTCTTCCCCCCCACAAATATCCCCCCGAGCCCTACACACCCCCTTTCCTGGGGAGGCTTGAGAATAATATCCTAACCAATTGGTTACAAAATCATCAATGACGAAGACCCCTGGATCTTGGAACAATGGAAAAATCAGTCAGGTTCTTAAAAGAAGGATTTTACTAAAAAAAAAAAAAAAAAGAAAGGTAAAAATCATCTCTGTAAAATCAGGATGGAAAATACTTTACAGGGTATTCAGCTTCAAAACACAGAGGATCCCCCTCTGGGAAAAACCTTAAAGTTACAGAAAACAGGAATAAACCTCCCTCTTAACACAGGGAAAATTCACATAAAACAAAAGATAAACTAATCCGCCTTGCCTGGTTTACCTATACTGGTTGCAATATTGGAGACTTGGATTAGGATGGGTTGGAGAAGATGGATTTCTGTCTGGCCTCTCTCAGTCCCAAGAGAGAACAACCACGTAAACAAAGAGCACAAACAAAAGCCTTCCCCCAAGATTTGAAAGTATTTTGTCCCCTTATTGGTCCTTTGGGTCAGGTGCCAGCCAGGTTAGCTGAGCTTCTTAACCCTTTACAGGTAACAGGATGTTGCCTCTGGCCAGGAGGGATTTTATAGCACTGTAAACAGAAAGGTGGTTACCCTTCACTTTATATTTATGACAGCTGCATTACCCAGTTGATGGCAATGTTGAAGAGGATTGCAGACATGACACCCCCTCACGTATTCCTGTTTTAACTTCAAAACTGAGCTCACTGTAATCAACACTGCATGTAAAGTTGGACTAGAAGCTTTTTGACGAAGTTGATTATAGAGAGGGATTCCATATGCCCACAGAATGCACCATAGGCCTTCTCAAAGTCTATGAATGTAGAGCTGCCTTGCTATTCTAAGCTTTGTTCTATTATGTTTCACAGAGTGAAGATCCACACCCTTTCTGAAAACCGGCTTGCTCTTTTTGAGAATGCTACCAGCTACCTCTGATACTCGCTGGGCTATGATCTTACACGATACCTTGCTTGGTACAGATGAAAGTGTGATCCCACACCAGTTATTACAATCTCTGAGAGTTCCTTTCTTGGGTATCTTCACTATAACCCCATTGAACCTGAGCCTGAAAAGCCCCTTATTAAATAGCTGTTCTCCATGTACATAGGTATAGACTGTGATCATCTCACCCTCAACCTTATCTCTGCTAAAGGAAGGGGAAGGGCAGGAACACCTGGAGTAGAAGAAATGTTCAGGAAGATGGGGTGGGGGGGAGCCCCTGGAGAAAATATCGCTGCAGAAGTGGAGGACGGGATGGCGGCGTACGGTATATGGGTATTGTAGCAGACCAAGGGGCTTGTGAACATTGACTGGATCACGGCTGGGCTAGGAGCTGCGTGTGGCACAAAGGGAAGCTCCAGTACTCTTCCCGAAGGGGCTTTTGCATCTTTGCTGCTCCCACAGTGCAGCAGCAGCTGCTTTGTATACCCCCTCCCATGTCGGGGACTTAACGGTCCAGCCCCATAACACTCCCCAGCGCTCTTAGGATTCCCAAAACAAAATGGCTTCCAGGCGGCCACAGCACACTGGATTGCGACGGCGGACGCCCTTTCCTGTTTGCGCATGCGCGGGTTTCATGTCGCCGCCGGTGCCGCCATTTTGTGTGTGGCCTCTGGGGCCGACCGGCGTTGAGTGGGATGCTGCGGGGAAGCGATGAAAGGAGGCCGCCAGCGCGGGAGGAGGCCTCTGCCTCCGCCTCCTATTCGGGCCGCTGTTCTTCCTCGTCCGGGACGGAGCACCTGCCCCGCTACCATTTCGGGCTGCTGCAAACCCCGCTGAGCACGGCGGGCAGCGCCGGCGGCCGCTCGGGCGGTGGAGCGGAGCCGGCCGGCCCCCCGCGACAGGCAGACTTCCTCGGCAGGCGTCTCACCCCGGGGCCGCAGCCGTTCTCTGCGGCAGCAGGAGGTGGGGAGCAGCTGCCGGGCCCTCTGTACGGGGTCGTCTGAGCAGCCTAGAGCCCTAGATGGAGATCGGCCCCCCTCCCGCGGTGCCCTCCCTGGCCGCCAACCCACCCAGGCCAACCGCTGCTCCTGGGAAGGGTTAACGGGAATCTGTAACCCCAGGGCATCAGTGTTACACAGCTTCCTGCATCCACGTGTATCCCGTCCCTGAACCATCTCTGTCCCATCGGCCCTGAACAGTTAGACGGGCTGCCTGTGTAAGGAAGATGCTCTTCTCCTTTTGATGGAGTTGGAACTGCAGCTCCAATTAAAGTCTCCTTTGACAGCAATACTCAGATCTCCCATAATGAGAAGAAAGTGGGGAGATGTGATATTGCTAATGTTAAAATAAACATATAAATAAGAAAAACAGTTTGCTTTCTAAACCCATCAAAAATTCCTTCACATTTTCAAAATTTGCTTCAGAGTTTACTTTTAATTACCTAAAATGGTTGGGGTAAGGAAGAATTAACAGTATCAGATAAAGTCCTCAGCTGATTCAATAAAACCTCTTTCCTTGCAGGAAGTAGCCTCATCATTTAAAGGGTCTGCTTTTTGTACTGGTATAACTATTTTAGTTAGAGGTGTAACTTTTTAATCAAAATAGTTACACTGGTACAACCTCTAGGTTGTGGACACTGTTATGCCAGTATAAAGTATACTGTTATCTCAGTAGAGCTTAGTCCCGTTCCCTTAGGGAAGCACATTTTATACCAGTGTATCTGTGAGATGGTAGTACTATTTTAACAATGCTAGTATAGTTAAAATGATGCAGTTTCATGTAGATAAGCCCTTATAGCCTGTTCCCACAAGCCCTATCTTGATGGGTCAGAAAGGTGTCATTTTCAGTTGTATTAGCTCAGTAAATCTAACATGACTGAAAAGCCCTTTTAATGTTTTTAAAAATGTAGTCTTAACAATTTTTAGGGCTGTCAAGCGATCAAAAAAATTAATTGTGATTAATCATGCAATTAATCGCACTGTTAAACATTAATAGAATACTGTTTAAATATTTTTGAATGTTTTCTACATTTTCAAATACATTGATTTCAATTACAACACAGAATACAAAGTGTACAGTGCTCACTTTATATATATTTTTGATTACAAGTATTTGCACTGTAAAAAAACAAAGGAAAAAGTATTTTTCAATTCACCTAATACAAGTACTGAAGTGCAATCACTTTATCATGAAAGTTGAACGTACAGATGTAGAATTATGTACAAAAACCCCTGCATTCAAAAATAAAACAATTTAAAACTGTAGAGGCTGCAGGTCCTACTTCTTGTTCAGCCAATTGCTCAGACAGACACATTTATTTACCTTTGCAGGAGATAATGCTGCCTGCTTCTTGTTACAGTGTCACCTAAAAGTGAGAACAGGTGTTCCATGGAACTGTTGTAGCTGGCATCGCAAGATATTTACATGCCAGGGGCACTAAAGACTCAATGTCCCTTCATGCTTCAACCACCATTCCAAGGGACATGGGTCCATGCTGATGACAGGTTCTGCTCGATAACAATCCAAAGCAGTATGGACCAATGCATGTTCATTTCTGTTATCTGAGTCAAATGTCACCAGCAGAAGGTTGTTTTTCTTTTTTGGTGGTTTGGGTTCTGTAGTTTCTGCATCAGTGTGTTGCTCTTTTAAGACTTCTGTTTAGCATATCGTGCATGTAAATACTTTGCAATGCCGACTACAAAAGTGCCTGTTCTCACTTTCTGGTGACATTGTAAATAAGAAGAGGACACCATTATCTCCTGTAAATGTAAACAAACTTGTTTGTCTCTTAGTGATTGGCTGAAAAAGAAGTAGGACCGAGTGGACCTGTAGGTTCTGATGTTTTACATTGTTTTCTTTTTGAATGCAGTTATTGAACAAAAAAAAATCTACATTTGTAAATTGCATTTTCACAACAGAGATTGCACTACAATACTTGTAGGGGGTGAATTGAAAAATACTATTTCTTTTATCATTTTTACAGTGCAAATATTTATAAAAAGTATACACTTTGATTTCAGTTAGAACACAGAATACAATATATATGAAAATGTCCAAAATATTGTATAAATTTCAATGGGTATTGTTTGACAGTGCAATTCAAACTGTGATTTAATAGCAATTAATTTTTTTAATGGTAATTAATTTTTTTGAGTTAATCGCATGAGTTAACTGCGATTAATCGACTGCCCTTATAATTTTGCAATTGTGTTAAGCTACTCCCCGCTAATGCAATTGAAAACCATACTCTTTTTGGCCATCAAGACAGGGCCATAAAAGCCATGATAAAACTCCTATTGGCTTCAGTGGTACAGGTTTTGGTCCTTGAGGCTGAACAACTTGGAGCCCAGCATGTGTGCTGAGCCCCCACCCACCACAGCTGATTGCTTTCATTTAGTATGCCCTCTAGCCCATAGTAAAGCTTGGAGTACTCCATATTCTGGAGCATATGAGAACACACAAAATGTGTTTGGACTCAGAGCCACCCAAGCTGTATTGTGGATTAGAGTACTGACAGCTGAATATGTGGCAGCTTGCAGGTGCTCAGCAGAGGTAGGGCCCTGGTTTCAGCACAGGTGGGGAGGAGGGTTATGGTGTATACCATTAAATGGGAGGTGCATGGCCAGCCAAGTACCAGTGATCAAAGTTCAAAGCACTCGTGCTGATATATATACATTGAGTATCGTTAAAAAGTCAACATTTACGGTTTACCTAATATCTTTTTGAGATACCTCACCTATTTTCTTGTATGTGGAATGGGAATGTTGTGCTGGCTTGTGTGGAGGTGTAGGAGCCCATGACACAATTTGCTGTAGTGTTGTCTAACTTCCCCTTGCCTCAATGTGCAGGATTATGTTCATAGATTAGGACACTAGGGTCAAAGATTATTTAATGGAAACTATTGAAGATCATACAGAGGTACTTCAAGCCTATATGAGTAATACTGTGGGTGCCATTTAAAAAATCAACTGATACTGTACAGCAGTTGGTATACTGCAGGAACAACTGTTTATAGGAAATATTATGGTTACTCCAAGGATTAAGGACTAGTGAATGTCAAGTACTCTAATGGTATTTCAGTCATAGTATTTTGTGATCAAGATTTCTATTACATAAACGTGGTGGTGGTGTAAACTGTATTTTTGTGCCAACCATCTGGAAATAATTTCAAGAAATCCATTAGGCATTTAGCTGTTTCTAAGTGCAATGTATTAGAGACCAATGTACCATATTTTCAAAAAATATTATAGGATACAACGATGTTTTCTTTTACAGACCTTGTTATGTTAATGCTTTTTTTTTTTTACATTTAATGCAGACTTCAGATATGAGAAAACATATTCTTGCTTTATTTAACACAAGATGGATCAAAAATTGTAAATCTAATTTCAGATGGTTCTTTGCTTTCCTGTATGTTGGTGCATTTATGTCAAGGTTCCTCCCCCACTCTGAACTCTAGGGTACAGATGTGGGGACCTGCGTGAAAAACCTCCTAAGCTTATCTTTACCAGCTTAGGTCAAAACTTCCCCAAGGTACAAAATATTCCACCCTTTGTCCCTGGACTGGCCGCTACCACCACCAAACTAATACTGGTTACTGGGGAAGAGCTGTTTGGACGCGTCTTTCCCCCCAAAATACTTCCCAAAACCTTGCACCCCACTTCCTGGACAAGGTTTGGTAAAAAGCCTCACCAATTTGCCTAGGTGACTACAGACCCAGACCCTTGGATCTTAAGAACAATGAACAATCCTCCCAACACTTGCACCCCCCCCTTTCCTGGGAAATGTTGGATAAAAAGCCTCACCAATTTGCATAGGTGACCACAGACCCAAACCCTTGGATCTGAGAACAATGAAAAAGCATTCAGTTTTCTTACAAGAAGACTTTTAATAAAAATAGAAGTAAATAGAAATAAAGAAATCCCCCCTGTAAAATCAGGATGGTAGATATCTTACAGGGTAATTAGATTCAAAAAACATAGAGAACCCCTCTAGGCAAAAACCTTAAGTTACAAAAAAGATACACAGACAGAAATAGTTATTCTATTCAGCACAATTCTTTTCTCAGCCATTTAAAGAAATCATAATCTAACACATACCTAGCTAGATTACTTACTAAAAGTTCTAAGACTCCATTCCTGGTCTATCCCCGGCAGAAACCCAGCATATAGACAGGTTTCAGAGTAACAGCCGTGTTAGTCTGTATTCGCAAAAAGAAAAAGAGTACTTGTGGCACCTTAGAGACTAACCAATTTATTTGAGCATGAGCTTTCGTGAGCTACAGCTCACTTCATCGGATGCATACCGTGGAAACTGCAGCAGACTTTATATATACACAGAGAATATGAAAATTTGTTCCAACCCCTCAGACAGAGACAAACACCTACAAGATCTCTGTCAAGCTTTCTTACAACTACAATACCCACCTGCAGAAGTAAAGAAACAGATTGATAGAGCCAGAAGAGTTCCCAGAAGTTACCTACTACAGGACAGGCCTAACAAAGAAAATAACAGAACGCCACTAGCGGTCACCTTCAGCCCCCAACTAAAACCCCTCCAACGCATTATTAAGGATCTACAACCTATCCTAAAGGATGACCCAACACTCTCACAAGTCTTGGGAGACAGGCCAGTCCTTGCCTACAGACAGCCCCGCAACCTGAAGCAAATACTCACCAACAACCACATACCACACAACAGAACCACTAACCCAGGAACTTATCCTTGCAACAAAGCCCATTGCCAATTGTGCCCACATATCTATTCAGGGGACACCATCACAGGGCCTAATAACATCAGCCACACTATCAGAGGCTCGTTCACCTGCACATCCACCAATGTGATATATGCCATCATGTGCCAGCAATGCCCCTCTGCCATGTACATTGGTCAAACTGGACAGTCTCTACGTAAAAGAATAAATGGACACAAATCAGATGTCAAGAATTATAACATTCATAAACCAGTCGGAGAACACTTCAATCTCTCTGGTCACGCAATCACAGACATGAAGGTCGCTATCTTAAAACAAAAAAACTTCAAATCCAGACTCCAGCGAGAAACTGCTGAATTGGAATTCATTTGCAAATTGGATACTATTAATTTAGGCTTAAATAGAGACTGGGAGTGGCTAAGTCATTATGCAAGGTAGCCTGTTTCCTCTTGTTTTTTCCTACCCCCCCCCCCCCCCAGATATTCTGGTTTAACTTGGATTTAAACTTGGAGAGTGGTCAGTTTAGATGAGCTATTACCAGCAGGAGAGTGAGTTTGTGTGTGTATGGGGGTGGGGGGAATGTGAGAAAACCTGGATTTGTGCAGGAAATAGCCCGACTTGATTATCATGCACATTGTGTAAAGAGTTGTCACTTTGGATGGGCTATCACCAGCAGGAGAGTGAATTTGTGTGGGGGGGTGGAGGGTGAGAAAACCTGGATTTGTGCTGGAAATGGCCCACCTGATGATCACTTTAGATAAGCTATTACCAGCAGGACAGTGGGGTGGGAGGAGGTATTGTTTCATATTCTCTGTGTATATATAAAGTCTGCTGCAGTTTCCACGGTATGCATCCGATGAAGTGAGCTGTAGCTCACGAAAGCTCATGCTCAAATAAATTGGTTAGTCTCTAAGGTGCCACAAGTACTCTTTTTCTTTTAGCATATAGACAGACACACAGACCCTTTGTTTCTCTCCCTCCTCCCAGCTTTTGAAAGTATCTTGTCTCCTCATTGGTCATTTTGGTCAGGTGCCAGCGAGGTTACCTTTAGCTTCTTAACCCTTTACAGGTGAGAGGAGCTTTCCCCTGGCCAGGAGGGATTTCAAAGGGGTTTACCCTTCCCTTTATATTTATGACAATTTATCTCAAGAGAATAGATTTAAAATCAGTTAAAGATCTTAAATAAACACAGATGACCTGCTCTTTGTTACAAAGTTAGGTTGATCTGACCACATCACTTTGGGCTGTGAAAAATTTTATGCCCTGTGTGATGTGGTTAAACTGACCTAAGCCCTTGTGTTGACTTTGCTAGGTTGATGAAAGAATTATCTTGGAGTGGTGGATTTACTATAGCAACCAAAGAACCCCTTTCTTGTGATAGTAAGTGTCTACACTGCATCTGTGCTGCTGTAGTGTTTCTAGTGTACTAAAATGAGAGCAGATTTTGAGGTAAATGCACCATCATAGAATTTACAGTGCAGGTCAATCTTAAAATGCATCAGTAAAAGAAATTCCAGGAAACACGCCAGTTCTTAAATTTTAAATTGTATGACTTTGAGTTGAACCATATAGGCAGAAGAAGATAATTTCACTGAATGAGTTTTTGAATGTGGTTCTTTCTCTTTGTTTTTATTACCCTTTAAAATGCGTGTTCAGTATTAGGCAAATATATTCTTTTTATGACACTTTTTAGACTTGGGAATTTTCACAAGCAGATAATTATTATTGAAATTGACAGGAAACTGAAGGTAGAAAATCTGATAAATAGAGCAGCCCCTTTTATAGGCCTAGAAATCCCTCTTATATGAAATTATGCATTGTATCTGGCTTTTTATCACATAATATTAGTGTAACAACCTAAGCAGGGAATTTGCTGTCAGTATAAAGTAATGACATTAAGGAGAAATTATCATATCAATATGAGTTGGTTTTCAAAATAGCATCTTACTGAAGTTCACTTTTTCCTCTTTTTATACTTGGATTATATAAATATTAATATCAATACAGCAAAGTTCCATTGGGTTCTGTGACTGGATATATCTTTCTCCATTAAGAGCTCTTAACAATCTTTTAACTATTTTTCCTTATTTGTATTGCTTTTCAAACAAAACACTTCATGTCTGATTGTGTTAATTTTATTTTATGGCGTTTGTGTGACTTAAGCAGCAAACTGATCTATGCATTATCTTTCCAAGAGATGCTTTTTATTTTTTTCATAGATTCATACTTTGGGGACAGGAGTTCGTATGCAGAAAATGTTAGCACAATGAATTTTACAAGCTCTTCTTCTGCAAGAGGTCTTAATAGTGCCTGGATAGGAAAAACACCCCTCTCTTCTAGTAGATCAGGTTGTAGAAGCAGGACACCTCTCATGGGATATTCAGGTAGAGTTGATATTTTTATAGGACTAGCTCTCTTTAAATCCGTAGCCTTATTTTTTAAGCATATTTTAACAATTGAATGTTATATAGTAACATACTTTTTTGTTCATGTATTTTGGGGGGTATTACGTTATATAGGATATCTAGTACTGAGGATATGTACGTAAGAAAACTGTTATTTTAGTTACCGCTTAGCTAAATTTTCTTGCATTCTTCTTCAAAATAATTGATATAATTGGAACTCAAATATTCTCTCAAATTATTCAGTTTCGGTGTAAGTATATGGACATGTTGGTGATTCTGTGGTAACTTTACTAAGGTAACTTTACCTAAATTTGTACTCCATATTTTTTTATCTTGTCAGACAACAACAAAATCAGCTTTGTCCCCATTACTTTTAGGAAGAGTAATTTTTACTTGTGCTAATGCAAAGCTCTCATCCAGGTTCTAATCAGTCCCAGCATATGTATTATGAGGTATTTTGATATCATGTTGTGAAAGTGACCACTTTAAAAGTTTTTGGTGTCAGTTTTGTGCAGCTTATGTTGTGAGCTCCTTCAGTCTTGGAAAAGAAGAGTTGTTTAGAGAAGCACTTTTTTTTAGAAATGGAAACTTCATAACATGAAGAAGAAAGCCAGACTGAACAGCAACATCTACTCTCTGAGCAGATGCAAGAAACAAAACATCATCTCCAGAGAACTCACCATCTATAATGCTCTGACCACTGCATACAACCCCAAATATGCTGAACAGCTCTTCAGAAGTACCTTAGAATACTGAGGGAACCATTTCCTGTACCTTACATACTCTAGATGGGACCACCTCAAGCAGGAAATCATCACAAGCTCCTAAATATTGGAAGAAAAAAAATCAAGAAACCTATCTGGAGATCATGCAGGAAACCTAAAACAACTATAAAAAAAAAAACGGATAGCCATCCAACACAAAAATAAAGGTGGAACCAACTACAACAACTATACAGCCACTAAAACACCACCTCTCGAAGAAACCATGCCACCAGGAGTTAAAACATGGACACTACACAACACCTCAACATCATTAGCTTGTCGAGACTACCCATAACTGGAACTGAAGTATGTACTATTCCAGGGACTGAACTTCTGCCTCACCATAGAACCTGATTCCATACTAACATGTGAAGAACTAGAAGAATTCTGCTGCTGACTCCGTCTCAATGAGTTCTTTCACAACAAAGAGTGTGGCAGTGGTATAACAAGCAGGCTGCTGGAATCAGTGCGCTGAACCAAGGCTGCTTAACACACACAAACTCGGTGCATGCTTGTATGCTGGTTGGATGCCTCCAGATGAGGGAGTTCCAGCAGCAGAGCATTTTGAGTCACTCAGAGTTACTGGGAAGCAATGACACAACCCCTCATTGCCCTAGATTGCACCCCAGAACATGACAACCCCTTGGACAGAGTTTCCATTAATATTAGGTGTTGGGTCTTCTGATACTAAAATTACTCTTGGGGGAATTCTGTGCCACTGCACGCATGCAGAATTCATGTCCCTGCAGATTTCTTGGCTTCCCCTCAGAAAAATGACTTCCGACAGGGAAGCAAAGGGAAGCTGCAAGAGTGATCATGTACCCCTCCCCAGCAGCCTGGGTGTGTTTTTTTGGGCATCCGGAGCAGCCAGTGGAGAGGTAAATCACTGCAGGGTTGGGGGCAGGTCTGAGGATGCCCTGGCCACTGGCTCTTTCCCTTTGCCAGGCTCAGCTACTAGTCTCAGCTGGGCTGAAGCAGGGGAGAACATGACTTCCTCTTCCCGTGCAAGAAGCGGGCCAGACCTACTCCCAGAAACACACCCAGCTGCAGGAAGCTCTGTGGCCTCCCCACCCCCATCACTCCTCAGCTGCGGGGAAGGGGTCACTGTACGGAGAGCTGCTCCCTCATGCATCCATCTGCCCAAACCCCATGCATCCAGACTCCCCCCTCCCCCAGAATCCCCCCACTGAGCCCCCTGCACCCAGACTCCCTCCTGAGAATCTCCCCCCTGGATCCGGACCCCCACCCCTCCACCCAGACCACACCCTGGCTGAGACCCCCACACCTGAACTTCCAGTCTGATGAGGCCCCCCCCAGCACCTGGACCATCCCGTCAAGCTCCCCGCACTCGGACCCCCACCCCACTGAGCCCCAACCAGCTGCACCCGGACTCTCACCCCACTAATCCCCCCACACCCACACACCCCTGCTGAGCCCCATTCCTCCACACCCAGACCTCCTCCTTGGTGAGCCCCAACCATTTGACCTGGATCCCCCTGCAGAGTCCCATTCCCTCTACATCTGAAACCCTGCAACAAGCCCCTCTGCAGAGCTGCCCACACCTAAATTGCACCACACAGAACCCTCTCAGACCCTCCTGGATCCCTCCACACTAAGCCCGTCCCCACTTGGATCCTGCCGGGCTGAGCTTGCTTGACCCATACCTAGATTGGGGGACAGCTTTGTCCCTCTTGCTTGCTATCTTGGTGCACCTGGCATGGAGGGGCAGGGCCCTGGGGTGTTTTAGGGCAAGCTCAGCGCTTGTGCTGTGTCAGGTTTGGGTGCAGCCTCACCGTCAAGTCCATGTCCCAAGAAGGGGCTGCAGGGTGATCTCCCACCTCCTTGTAGCCAGTGGCCGTGCTCCCCACTGCCATGCTGGAACCCCCACATTTATTTATTGATAAATAAAATATGTGGAATTTTGCAGAATTTTAAAATATTGTGCGCAGAATTTTTACTTTTTTGGCCGAGAATTCCCTCCGGAGTAACATTTTAAAAGTAATTCTTTAGCAATTCAGTCTTGCTGATGCATTGTGGTAGACATTGTAAGTTCTACAAAAAATGTGGCCTGTTTCATAATGTGAGGAAACAGAATAAGCTGTTTGGGGGGAAATTAGTTTGTGAGAAATAAAGAAAAAGCACTGTCAGAAAGGAGGAGTCAGCAAACTGCTCAGGAAAGATAGATGTCTTTAACAAGCAGAAAAGTTAGAGACAGTATTTTTCTTTTTTATATATAGAGTTAAACTCAAGAGAAATAGTGGAATTAAATTTTTTGGAGTTAAATATCTTTTATTTTTAGAAATAATATGCTTAGGTTGTTTTGGGGTGTATGTGGAGTTTATAGGTGTTGCATTGTAAGTGAAAATACTGGTGGATGGCTTTGCTTTTACGAGCAAGACACCATTTTTGTGCTGTATGATTAGGGCTCTCTGTCTGTCATGGAGGTCGCAGAAGTCACTGATTCTGTGACCTCCATGACTTCTGCAGGCAGCCAGTGTGGCTGACCTGGGGCGCCCAAGCAGCTGGCCCTAGAACAGCCACACCAGCTGCTGCTGGAGTGACCCGAAGGCTGCCACACCAAATGCTGCTTGGGAGTTGCTGAGATGTACAGTAGAGGGCACTGCAAAGTTATGTTATGGTTCCGAGAAATATAGAACATATGAACAGCTTTAGTTTTCCAGGAAAATTGCTTTGTCCTTTTTTATTGTCTTCACATTTAATGACAGAAATAGAATAGTTTAACTTTTTGTCATCAAGTGAACCCAAAATGGAATAAAATATAAAGAGAATGTATTCTATCAAAATAAAAATTACCTCTACTTGATATTAGTTTAAGGAAATAATTTGAAAAGTAGCCAGCAATTGGCCGCAGGGAGGTGCTGGGTTTGAATGCCCTCATACTCAAAAAATGCATAACATCTGTCAAAACAGGGTTAAGTCTCCCCAGAAACATTGTTAAATGGTAAATTTTAGAACTAAATTTTGCACAAATTAATTGGGAAAACAAAGCACTTGACAAAGAGAGATTACTTCTGAAATGTGGAAAAATGACATAATAGCTATAGCACGTGGGCAACTCAGAATTAAAAACATACAGTTAAAATACAAAAAATTGCCTGCATAGAATGGCTATATTTGCTTCACTGGCATTTGATTAAAAAAACCCTCCTGTCTTCAGAGGTATACCTTATGCTGTACCCTGAAATTTGTCAAATACTAGCAAACAGAGGAAATTAATTTCATGGGCAAAGGCCCACCACTCTCTATGCCTAAAACTATTCCTAAAGTTTGGTCAGAAACTGATAGCAGTAGCGTGTCAGCTGATTTTGACTATCCTGACACAAAATACATTATAATTTATTTCCCAAGATAAGAAAAAAATGTACTGGGTCTGTTGATCACCTAAGGAACTAATGATCCCATACATGGTATGTGTATGTATGCATTCAACAATTACTGCTTGGTTTCCCTCTCTGAATGATTGATCCTGTGTAACAGGGAGTGCTCTAAATACCCACTGTAGTCCAAAGGAAGTGAGGGCACTGGACACCCTGCACATTTGGGCCCTGCATCCACTTAAATTCATTTTAATTATTTGAACTCTTTCCCTTTTTCCAAATTAGAACTTGATCTGTGTCATGTTATTTAAAACAAAGAAAAAACAATTCTATTCTCTCCTCTGCCTTGCACAGTAACACTGTTCTGCAGTTTTATGGATCTGTGGGATTCCTGTGAAAGAAATACTTTAAAATCTAAGACCATGAATACATAAAATTTCCTAATCTAAAGCATTTTCTTTTTTTCTCTCCATCTCTTACTTTGCTTTTTCTTCCTGTCCTCCTAGCTCCATTGTTAATTTCTTCTAATTACACTTATTTATTCTTCCATTAATTCAAACTACCAGTGTCAGAAAATCTAGTAAGTCTGATACTCAGTAAAATGCATTTTGCTTCAGACTTGCTGTTTAGCTATTGAGCTCCCCATACTCAAGAAGAAAATGGTTACTTGGACTGGCTGAAACTACTACTATACTACTAGTACTATAATGTCCTCCAAGAAAGGAACCGCCTCTCCATCATATGTTGGAAACCTTTTGTTGTGTGTGCAGTGATTATTTCACAACAGAAGAAATTCAGGAGCGTCTCTGGGTAAGAATTTTGGGTATCAGCTCATTAAGAGTAGAGGTCTCTGCATGGGGCAGCTTCATCCCTTGCC